TTTAATAATATATATTTTATAATTTTATATAATTTAAATAATAAAATAATTTTTTAAATTATAATAATTACTATTTTAATAAGAGGAGGAGGAATCTTAGAACTGACTTTCGAAAGTAGCGTTACCTTCGTTATCTTCCGACCAGGTTGTCTAGGGGATTCTTCTCAAGACTTGTAATTAAAGAAAGGATTTCTTAAACTTTTAAGAATATGATTAATATATTTTTTAATTATTAAATTATATAAAAAATTAAAAATTAAAAATTAATATTAATATTATATGTATTAATTTAATTAATTAATTATTAAAATTAAAGTTAAATTTTATTTTTTCTATATACCTAAAAAGCATATTAAATACATAATTGTTTAAAAAAACACTTGAACAAATACAACTACTCCAGTCGAGCAAAGACAATGATTATGGTATCAAGGCAGATTCGGAACATTTGCTTCGATTATGGTATCAAGGCAGAATTCAAACATCTAAAAGTTTCCGTATCAAACTTCGAAAACATAATAACTAAACAAATAGGCAAACGAATAGATGTTGCACATCTGTCTAATTATTGCAAGAAACAAAACACATGTCCCACTAAACATTACTTGTAAAATACACTCTGTATTAAACTAATCAAGTTTAATCAAAGGAAGAAAATGAGATTTGGTCAGTAGACTTGTTCACACTAGGCTGCGTTCAAAGGGTAAAAACTTACTTTTGATCTTTTATCTTATTAGATTTGTAAATTTTAGTTTTTCATTTTATATTATAATATTTTTAATCTATCACATATTACAATTAAAGAAAATAATCATCATTTATAATATTTTATTAGTTTTACTAATTGATTATTAATTTTATTAATTAATTGTTAACTTATTAGTTAAAATAAGTTTTTGTTAACTAATAATCGACTAATAAAGTTGACAATCATTTAACAAAATAATTTTATTAATTAATTATTAACCCTATTAACTGAAAATAAGTTTTTACCGACTAACAATTAATTAATAATCAGTTAATAGAGTTAATAATTAATTAATATAACTAACAAAATATTAGAAGTGAGAATTATTTTCTTTAATTCTAAAAATGAGGGGTTAAAAGTGTCTTCATAGAAAGTAAGAAGCTAAAATCTACTAATTTAATAAAATAAAGGGTTAAAAATATGTTTTGCCAATCATTGACGGGACCATTTTTTGAACAAAATTGCTAGTGGACTTTGGGTCTATCTGCTCCATTATTCCATTATATCCTTATCTTATGGTGCAAGGCTGTAAGACAAACTTGTGGGGAACCATGGCGTTGATGTTTCAAATGACAAACTCCGTGGGTAAATAACGAATTAAAACTAGAGCTTTCACTTACCTACCACATTTCTAATAAATAATAGGATATAATTTTTTTTTTCATGATCAACGTGTTTTTAAAATAATTTTTATATATTTTAAATTTAATTTTTTAATAATTTTAAGAACATATTTTTATATTAATTTAATATATTTAGAATTTTAACTTTTTAAAATAATAATCTTAAATTTTAAATTTTAAAATTTTTATATATCATAAAATTAAATTTTTAATAATTTTAAAAACATATTTTATATTAATTTAATATATTTAAACAAATTAATTTTTTATATACTAATCATAAAACTTAAATTTTAAAATTAAGTTAGAAAACGAAACATCCTAACAAACAATATAAATTAATTTGCGCTGATGACCTACAAACGTCCTAATGATTGTTTCTTCTTTAGGAAGTGAGAGTGGGGCTGCAACTACAGTAGAAGTTAGTGGAGCCATGACCCCTTTAAATCATAGTAAAATAAATTTATCATTTCCCTAAACATGGCAACTTTCACTTTCGTCCCTTAATTTTCCCCTATGGCACCTAAAATTCATTTCTAATTCTGCTTCCATATTAGAGGTTCGAAGAAGATAGATGAAACAGGGTGGTTGGATAAAGCACACCAATTTAAATAATAATAATAATAAAGAAATGTAAATTTCATGCTGACATGGTTTAGGATAGAAACACTTACTTGGTTGGGATGGGAAATTCGGGGAAGAACTTGGCCAGAATCTCTACCAATTCACCCCGATGGAGAGCGCTCTCAGCGCAGAGGTAGCGGCCAGAGGCAGAGGGATTCTCATAGACAAGAATGTGGGCTAATGCCACATCCCTGACATCCACATAAGCTTGAACCGAGTTGGCATAGGTCTTTGCTGACCCTGTCAAGTACTTGAGAATGTGAACAATGCTAGCATTCACGGTTGGCTGCAACAACGGTCCCAGCACTAATACTGGGTTCACCACCACCAGGTCCACCTCTTTTTCCTTTGCTATGTCCCATGCTGCTTGCTCAGCCACTGCTTTCCCAAAACAGTACCAATTCTGCAAAAAAATTTATAATCTAATTATAATAAGATTGATTTGGTAAATTGGGCTGATAGATACCATATATCACAATTAAGCACATATGAATCTTATTATTTTACCAAATTAAAAACTGAGTCTTCTTTCAGGCATTTTCACATTCATGTTTCAAACATCTAGACCTTCTAGAAATATGCAGGAAATTTCCTGGAAAAAGTATTCCATGACTTTTTCTTGTGAATTCTTTGTTAGATTAATTAATTGGGTTCAGTTTCCACCTTGGTGTTCTTGCAGTATTCGAGGTCGCTCCAACAGGATTCATCCACCACAACATCAGGACTCCGGTTGGGGTCCATGTACACTGCCCCAATCGACGATGTGAACACCACCCGCCGGCATTTGGCCTCCGCTGCCGCAATTATCACATTCTTAGTCCCATCCACCGCTGGTTCCACCATTTGTTCCTTTACATTAAAATACAGAAAATCACAAAACCACCTCCACCATTCATCATAAATAATTCTAAAAGAATCAACTTCATCGGAGATAAGCACTGAAAAGGATATTAAGCAAATTTAATGTTCCTGTCTTTCCAAATGGTCACTGCCATATTTTTTATATTTGGGAGAAGGGAAAATCCATGTTCCTTGCATTAATCAAAATGATATTTGGGTCTTCATTAGTTGGGTCCTATCGTATTCCTTCCATTATAAAAAGCTAAAATTAGACCCACCCCCGGCCCCTAACATGTCAAAAAAAGGTGTGGGCATTTTGATTTTAGTTGGGTAGTATTTTTCACTATTGGTTTTTCCTTTCTTTTCCACTTTCTTGCGTACCAAACAGAAAAAATATATATATATTTTCTTGGTTACCAAACAGGAAAGAAGTACTCACAGGGTCATCAGTCACGGGTGAAGCCGTGTGGAAAACCCCATCACACCCATTAATGGCATCCTTGAGACCTTCATAATCCAGAAGATCGGCTCTGCATAGAATCAGCCTCTCTTTTGCCCCCTCCAACTCTCTCAGGTGAGCATTTTTGGGGTCATCTGCAAAGACCCATATGCAAAATTATCAACATATACAAATTAATTAAGAGTTGATTTTGTAGTTAACGTATATTGAAGAAATTAAGACACAGACCTGGGTTCCGAACAGTGCCTCTAACTGTGTACCCCTTTTCAAGAAGAAGTTTGACGATCCAGGAGGCGATGAAGCCACCAGCGCCGGTGACACAGATGGTCTGGCTGGCAGGTGAGGGGCTGTCGACCGGCATGTTTTGGGATCAGAATTTGAACAGTATGGTATATACGTGTGCTTTGCTGAGGGGCTCAAAAGCTTGAAAAAATGGATTTTTGTGGCTGTATTTATAGGAAACCAAGATTACCGTAACCCACCTACCACTCTAATTAAAAAAAAAACAAAAAAACAAAAAAACAAAAATTTACACAGCAACTTCTGCACATTTAACTGGTTAGCAATTTTCCTGTGTGAAAAATGGTTTTCACTCATTTTTTCGAATTCTTCTCTTAATGAATGAAACATATGACTCCTTATATTGATTTTATTATGCGACTTTTGTAACATGTGTGGCATATATTAACAGTATAATTATTGTATTTTTTTAGTAATAATTGGTATGAAAAAATAAAAGAGCTAATATTAAATTCATCACTAATATCAGGTTGATTATTTTAAGAATTTTTCTAATATGTTAAGTGTGACTCAATTGTGTTTTTTGTAATAAATTTTATAAGAAAATATAAAAATAAATATTTTAATTATATATAAAATTATTTTAATAATAAAATTATTTTAGCCAATAACTTAAATAACTTAGTGGTAATTATGATATGCGGGTGGGGGAAGGTAAGAA